GGTGCCCTTGCCCCACTATAATGTCATTCCCCAAGTTACTCCCTGCTTGCTTGACCTTTATTTAGATCCCCAGAGTGTAATGCCCATCCCAGAGCCCATCTGCAGCTGGTCCTATGGAACAGGATGTCATTGTTTGCATTCTATACTCGTTCCCTGCCCCGTGGGTGGGAAGAGAGACTCTGAAATGATAGTTCTCAGCAGAGATGTGAGCTGCCCCATCCCTTGCAATGGGGTGTTAATGCCAAAGGCTGATGATGGCAAGGGAGAGGTTAGTAATTGATGATTATGTTACACGCAGTGCTTAGCGAATGTGTTCATCTGATGTGGCTGGATAATCAGATGATGGTTTATTCAGCACCACAGCTGAGCATAGTGTTAAGAGCCACCAGACCATAACCCTGTGCTCTGAGGAGATTTTCCAGTCGACTTTTAAATATTTCCCTTCCAAACAGTGAAGCACTGGGGTACTGCACTTTGCAGTCTAGGCCGCACTCCAGTGCAACTCACTCCAAAGTTTCGCTTGTTTAAAAAAACAAAAAATCTTCATTTCATCCCAATCTTCCTAAGCCGAGTCTAGGTGAGCCACCAGGAAAAGGAGAAAGGGGTTTCACCTATCAGAAGAGGTTTGAGACGGGGGTCCAGTAGCCACCAAACAGGAGGGAGGAGGGCAGATGAGGTGCCACCAAAGGTGGAGATGTGACTAGTGAGGAGTGAGCATAGGTCCTGTCCCTTTTTTTTAACCACATTTTGCCCTCTAGAGGGGAATAGCTTGTGAGGGCCCTGCCCTCACTTTATACGTCTCCTAGTAAACCTGAGCAACCTACTGCCCAAACGCTGGCCCTTTGGGAGTCAATTGATTTAAAGGGTATTTTTACTGGTACATTTGTTTAATAAGAAAAGAAAAGGTTGCAACATTTAGCAAGTAATATCTCTGTTTGCTTCAGGTGGACGTTCGGCAGCTCCTTCCCGCCCAATCCCAGGGGTTTTCTTGCGTAGCTGCTTGCATAAACATTTTCCTTTGTAAAGGGTCCCACTGACAGTGACTTTCGTTTGCCTGTTCTGATCTAGCTCAAGTGTGGGAGCAGGAAACCTCTGGTCCCTTCAACTAAAGCTGCCTGATGCCTTCTTGCTAGTTTTAATAAGCAATCTCCACCCAAGTATCAGCCCTGGGAACAATACATGTGTCCCCAGATTTCTCTACCGTCACGCTTCGGCTCAGGGTGACTCCACACCATTTACCATGAAAAATGGCTCACGTCATCCTAATATTGAAAAGTTGGTCCAGGATTCTCGAAATGAAACAGAGCGTGCCTGCCCAAATGACACACAAGCTGGAACATACAGTTCTAGTTTTCTGCTATCTTGCACCCTCACACAATATAAGAAAAGTTTTTCAGACTACATCTGTGGAAAATTTTGGGTCCTCTGTTTGCCTCATTTTTATTCATCTCATGTGCTCCTCAGGTGCCAGTTCTGGCCCTTGAGTTCTTCTGATTGTAATTGAATTGTCTCCTCAGAAGAGAGGCTCACCTGAAGCTTGTCTGGTTTTGTGCTGGGAAGATTCAGCAGGATCTTCATGGCTGCCTTATGACAATAACCTGACAGCAAAGGAGACTCCTGGTGGGAGAAGCGAAATAGCCTCTTGGAGGGCTCATTTAGGTATGAGTGCAACCAGTCACTTTGCTCATGGTTTCGGGGCATGGTTGCAGGCTCCTTTTAGGGTGGTTATGTTCATCCCCACTGTTGTGCTCTGGTGTTTATGCATTATAACTAAGGCCCTACTTAAGCTGCGATATTGCGGATCCCGCCATATTAGACTGCCACCACAATTTTGACAGTGGGAGCCCCAGCTGCCCTGGGGTCAACAGCACGACCTCCCACTCTGTCCTGGGCGGTCAAACACCGGGAGCCCCCCACTGTCAACAGCGGGATCCTGCTCTCAGGCCTGGGCTGCCGACAGTGGGAAATTGCAGAAAAGTCATAGACCTTATTTGACGTTAGGAGTGTAATAGAATATCTCATTGAAAGATGACAGGGCCAGAAAGAGTTAATTAACTCACAGACTGACCTGACCCAGGGCCCAACTTTAGAGACTGGTTAGGAAGATAGGGTAAAAGAATAGAGCTTTGAAATGTAAGTCTGTATTGTCAGAGGAAGAAGGGTAGATGTTTGCTCAGGTCTTGTGATGTCAGCAAACAAGTCTTGTCTATTGCTATAGCTTTAATTCAAAGATCAAAAAAGGAATATTAACATTTATGATGATACTTGAGTGAAATAGTATTATTGTCTCTATGTCTTTTTGAAGTTTGTGGTAACCTGTATCTGAACTGTGTAATGGATAAATTATCCTATGCTAATTGGCAGGGTGTTTGGGAGAAGGAGAGTTGAGCCTATTGCTTTCTCAGGCCGAAAGGCTGCAGGAAATGTATAAAAACTCTGGGACGCAATCCTGCTTCATCTCAGATCTGCTTTGGGTTTCAAGAGGGGGAACCTTAAGCCATAAGGATTGAGATCCCCAGTCACTGACTGGAGTCACCCTGAATATGGACATTGGACTATAACCTATGGACTATTTCTAAAAGGACTTTTGGCAACTACAGGATCACCTCTGCTATGCATCTGAGCCTCAAGAATTGAATTCAAGTCTGTCTGTATATTGATCTTTTAACCAACACTCTCTCTCTCTTCTTTTTAAATAAATTGTAGCTTAGTTAATAAGAATTGGCTCTAAGCGTGTATTTTGGGTCAGATCTAAGTTATAATTGGACCTGGTGTGTGGCTGATCCTTTGGGGTTGGAAGAACCTTTTCTTTTATATGATGAGATAAGATTTTCAGTAATCATCATCGTATCTGACAGGTGTGTCTGGACGGAGGCCTGAGGCTGGGCACTTTAAGGGAACTGCATTATTTGGACTTCTAAGTAACCAGTGAGGTTCTATAGAAGCTGTTTTGTGCTGGTTGGTAAATCTAAGTTTTGGAAGATCCACCAGTGTTTGGGGTTTGTTTGCTCCGTTCTGTTTGCAGTTCACCCTGATTGAGTGACCTCGGCTGGCTCCCACGGGCAGCACCGTCACACCTTATTACCGCAAATAAGGTCCATTATTACTTTTCCGCAATTTTCCATTGCTTGTTCATAATTCAGCTGCAATTTTTTGACAATCGTCCTGCAATTCAAGTAGGGCTTTAATTTTACAGCATTTAGCACAGCAACATAACCAGCATGTGCCCACCAAGCTCTGACAAGTGTCAGATCCCTCCAGGTGTTTCCCTGGGTCATGGTGAATTTGGTGCCAGATTATTGCGTAGTGTCGAACTCTGCTGAGGTTTTGTTTACACACACAAGTTGTACCAGTTTAACTAAATTGGCTTAGAAAGTGAATTAGCCAAATTGGCAAGAATCCAATTGAGTGGACATCTTTAAACAGCCTGATAACAGTTAGCTTAAATCAGTAAACAATAGATGTAAGCAGAATTGAAAGAGGGCACGCTTAATCTGAAATAAGTGTCTATACAATGGTGTTGCTCATTTAACTAAATCACTATCAAAACCTGTTAGTACAACTTGTGTGTGCAGCCATGCTCTCGGTCTCTGCTAGGTGTGTACATGCTGTCCAGTTCACCCTAGTCTGTAGCCAGCACTGGGTGCCGCCCGATTGCTGATGTGGGCTCAACGAAGGCAAGACCTCTGCTGGCGTGTGCCCTGTGGGGCCAAGACTCTGCTACCTCTAAAGGAGACGGCATGAGGCCTTGGCCGATTAGTGCCTGGAGGCCATGCCAGCGGGACCATCGCCGTGACAACCCCATGATGACAGAACAACTAATGGGGAGCAGACTGAATAACCCTGGAGTCACCCTGGCTCTGCAGAGCACACCAGTAGGTGCCCCACCTGCCCCCAGCACAAGGACAGGGCTCCCAGCCCCTCCCCCCCCCACAGGGACAAGGCCCCCC